GGCAGCTATGCGGTGTGATCACGAAATAAACTTTTGTTGTTTCAAGTCACTGACACGTGGATGCGGTTCTGAGCCCCGGGAACACAGCAGTGAACCACAGGGACAAGTTTCCCTCTGAGCTCCATTCCAGGGAGGGGAGGCAACCGTACTAAATAAAATTGCAACAGGAAAACGTCAGGAATTGATAAGTACCATGGAGGAAATTAAACTGGGTGAAGCGACCAAGAAGGACTGGAGGCTGGGAGGGGTGTGTATTTTAGAGCAGTTGGGGACTGTGTCTCTGGAAAGTCGAATTGAGCTTGAATATGAAAGATGTTGATCAAAAAGTCCATCAGGGGGCACCTGGGTGGCTCAGTTGGTTAAGCATCTGCCTCCGGATCCCAGGGTCCTGGGATTGAGTCCCGCAGGCTTCCTGCTCAGCGGGGAGTCTGCTTCTCCCTCTCCCTCTGCCGCTCCTCCTGCTTGTTCTCTCTCTCTCTCTGTCAAATAAATAAATAAAACTCTTAAAAAAAAAAAAGGGTTGATCAGGCTAAGACTAGGAGAAAATTATTCCAAGCAAAGATGGGAAAGCATATGCAAAGAATAAGTGTGGAGTGTTTAAGAAACAGAAAGAAATCATGTGGGACTTAACAAATCTACAGATTTGCCTGGGTGGCTCAGTCGGTTAAACGTCTGCCTTCAGCTCAGGTCATGTTCTCAGGGTCTGGGATCAAACCCCATGCAGGACTCCCTGCTCGTGCGGGAAGCCTGCTTCTCCCTCTCCCTGCCTCCCTCCCCCCCCGCCCCCGTCAAATAAAAAAAAAAAAACTTAAAAAAAAAAAGGAAGAAAGCTACAGATAATGATATGAAATAGGGTCAGAAAGATTGGCAGGGCCTTGTAGGCTGTGATGGCTACATGGCTGAGAGAATGGTTATGGATGGATGGGAGGCTGGGAGGATGGGTGGATGGATGGATGGAAATTGCCAAATCCTGGAGGGTTAGAAACCCAAATCCACTTTATACCACTAGATGGAGCCAAACATTGATATTTGTTACTTAGTTGTTCCCGTCTTTTGCAGAAATTAATATTTCTGTCTAACATGATATTCCTCCCTGGGAAGCTGACAGGCTTCAAATCTCCTTAGAGCACAGGAGAGCTTCTCGACTAGTGAGGCTACTGGGCTGTTAGCTGTGCAGAGATATGGATGCCCTTGGCCCTGGAGTGACCTAGTAAAGTCTAAGGAAGCCAGATTCCCCAAGTGTTACCTCTGTCCATTCACAATGCTGTGTTATACAGCAAACATTATCATGTTCTAGGCGGGTCATGATGTAAAAAAAAATTAGGAGGTGCAGCCTTAGAGAATGTTGTGTGCTTCACATTGCATCATTCAAGAGAGTGATCTGGATTTTTTTTTTTTTTTAAGATTTTATTTATTTGTTAGAGAAAGAGAGAGAGAGAGAGAGCACCAGCAGGGGGAGCGGCAAGCAGAGGCAGAAGCAGGATCCCCACTGAGCAAGGAGCCCAGTGTGGGACTCGATCCCAGAACTCTGGGATCATGACCTGAGCCCAAGGCAGATGCTTAACCAACTGAGCCACCCAGGCATCTCGAGTAATTTGGCTTTAACTGGCCATTCCTGGCAGCAGAGTACCAACTATGTCCAAATACTAAAGATTATAAAATGCCAACAAAAGTGGGAAATGTGTACTTGTGATGGGAAATGTGTCGGCTGATGGGCCAACACACAAAACCCATGAAACCTTGAGGTTCCACCTCTTTGGATACCACTTTGGGATCAGGCAGGTCACCGAACCCACCCCGGGATGCTGCTTAACTCAATTTAAAGTGCACATCAAGGAGAAAATGATCCATCTGCAACCATGGCACGCAGACAAGACAAAGTGTCCTGCAGGGGGAAGCAAGGAGAGATCTGCAAGCAGGAAGATGAAAGGATCAGCGCTGGGCCTTGGGAAGTCCTCCCTTCTAGAACAGAAGGGAGGAAGGAACGTCCCAAGATACAAGCTGTCCTGGAGAGTGTCTGCAAAACAAGGCGAGGGGCCATCCAGGCAGGGGCACCAAGCGGGCAAAGAAGGGCAAGGCCAGATGTCAGACACAGAGTCTGAGAAATGTAGGGAGAAGCCTTCAGACGATTAGAAAGGAAAATGAGGCAGGCAATGGGCAGAGAGTAGAATCATGCTCAGGAGGAGGGAGCAGGCAGCTGAAACTCAAGGCATAGAAACAACAACAACAGGTCGGGAGAAGATTGAAGAAAAGGACAGGCAGGATGTGGGGGAGTAGGGAAGAACACGGGGAGGGCGGATTGGGCTACATGTGTGGGAGTGGGACTTTCTAATCATTATAGAACATTTCAAGCATATGAAAAACTACAGAAAATAACAAAATGTTAAGATGTCTTTTAAATTTTACTATTTGTACAGAAGCTAATCATACACATTCTCTTCACCAAGTGTGCTCCAAATCACAGATAATTCTTACCAAGTTTTCTCCAAGGTTGGCCTCATATACAGTAAAATTGAAAAGAATTCAGAACTATCATGTCTGTAGCTAGACTTGAGTTACATGCAACTCAGTTGCCTACCCTATTGGGCCCATCACACCCTTTAGATAATACCTATTTTACAATGCCTCACTGTCTATTATGAAATGCAATTCATAATAAACCTACCAACACTCAAAATTTCAAAAAAATTAATATAAAGTCCTATCATATGAGAAATAAATCTATACAATGTATTTCAATATGTAAATAAGTCATCACTAACACTAAAATAAGGTAGCCTAAAATCCCCATGATTGTGACAAACAGCACAGGTTTCATCTTAATACCAAAAGCAACATTGTTGTAGGTGATGTGATCTTCTGAAATGGTTAATAGCTCTTCGGTTCTGAACAAATCAATTTAGCTGCATTCTGGGAATGTTCAGAGTACATTTATGGTAGTCATATTGCTCACCAGTATTCCCTGCTCCCCTTTCCCGGGACACTGGTAGGATTGAACTTTTGAACTCCCTTGAAGTTAGAGGTGGCATATACTTGCTTTGGTCAATGAAATGTATATAAGTGGGGACTCCTGACTGGCTCAGTTGGTTAAACATCTGCCTTCGGCTCAGGTCACAATCTCAGGGTCCTGGAATCGAGTCCCGCATTGGGCTCCCTGCTCAGCGGTGAGCCTGCTTTTCCCTCTCCCTCTGCCGCTCCCCCTGCTTGTGTTCTCTCTCTCTCAAATAAAATCTTTTAAAAAAAAACAAATTTTGGGGCGCCTGGGTGTCTCAGTCTGTTAAGCATCTGCCTTCAGCTCAGGTCATGATCCCAGGGTCCTAGGATCAAGTCCCGCATCAGGCTCCCTGCTCAGCAGGGAGTCTGCTTCTCCCTCTCCCTCTGCTGTTCCCCCTGCTCATGCTCACTCTCTCCTGCTCTCTCACTCTCTGTCAAATAAAATCTTTTAAAAATAAATAAATAAAAACTATTTTTCTAAAAGGAATTTATGTTTCTTTGCAAAGTGGAATTTGGTCCAGGCTCTGGGCATTATAAACAAGCTCTTACATGAATGTCCACTGGTATTGAAAAGTCATGAAGGATCTGGGTCTACTGCTTGGTAATTGCAGAGCATCTAACTCCCCTGTTCACCGCACTCCAGCAAAGACTAGCAGCAAACCCCTCCATCACCGTGACAGCTCAAACACCATCCCCACAGCTTCCCCACTATCTCTGCACCCCACTCTCCCCATAGAAAAGAGCTGGCCTTCAGCGCCCAGACAGATCATAAACACCCAATGGAGATAGCTGGACCAAAATGCCAGGAGAACCACGGGGCTTCTAAAGGGACAGCCATCGCCTGCTTTACCAATTTGTTGACACCATGGAATAGACTCTGAGCTGCCAAAGCTACTGATCTTTCGAGAGGGCCAAAATCCAGATTTCTTTTTTAAGATTTTATATATTTATTTGACAGAGAGAGACACAGCGAGAGAAGGAACACAGCAGGGGGAGTGGGAGAGGAAGAAGCAGGCTTCCCGCTGAGCAGGGAGCCGGATGCGGGGCTTGATCCCAGGACCCTGGGATCATGACCTGAGCCGAAGGCAGACGCTTAACAACTGAGTCACCCAGGCACAACCCAAAATCCAGATTTTAATGCCAAATCTTTTGATTTCTAAATATCTGCAACAACCTTTTTTTTTTTTTTTTTTAAGATTGAAACGCTCTGGGAGCCAAATACAAACGTTCTCCTAGTTTGATGAGGCCCCTGTGTGGCACTTTGCAAACAAAGTATCCAATGCTAATGCAATGTGAGTTTCCATTTAGTCAAATTCCCTTCTCTTCCAAGTGAGGAAACAGACAGGGAGTGATTCAGTGCAAGTGGATCATGCCTTGTGGAAGCCACACAGCGGGGCTAACAGTCCTCACATTGCTAACGTCTGCCATGCCTCCTTACTGCAAAATCTTTCTTGATGAGGCAGGTTCTCTTATTATCCCCATTTAACTAATTAATAGAATCCGGACCTTCTGATTCCCAGTCCTGCCAATCTGTCGTATGTAGGGTTTTCTTTTTAATAAAAAAATCCTGATTTCCTGCCTCACCTGTCCCAGTTTCCTTACCCGCCCTTCTGGGGGCTTGTTCTGAAGAGTGCTGGCAGAAAAGTGGCGAAGTAGGAAAAGTAAATCATGAAATGAAAATCAGAAAGAGGAAACAGAGTCACGACGAAACTAAAGCCCTGGGGGCTGTGTTCTAAGCCAAGCTGGGGGCACCTCCGGTTGGGGCGGCAAGCCCAAGAGTAATTTTCTGGACGAGTCCTCCCGACTGGTGGGAATATGGGTGCTTAGGTTATGAATGGTACTTTGCTGAACCTTTCTGAGGTTAAAGAAAGGAGAGGGAAGGCGGGTGAAGAGGAAGGAGAACTTAGCGAACGGGAAAAAAAAAATCTCTGCCCGCCCTCGCCTAGCCCGCCGCCCACCCGCGCCCCCGCCCGCGCCGCGTCCTCCGCCCGTCGCGGCCACGTGACACGGCCAAGATGGCCGACGGGGAAGACGGTTCCCTGGCGGGGCGGGAGCCGGGACCGGAGTCGGGAGAAGAGTTCGAGATCGTGGACCGGAGCCAGCTGCCTAGCCCTGGCGAACTGCGGAGCGCGGCCAAGTCGCGGACCGGGCCGGAGGGCTGGTCGGCGCCCATCCTGACCCTGGCGCGAAAGGCCACGGGCAACCTGTCGGCGAGCTGCGGGAGCGCGCTGCGCGCGGCCGCGGGGCTGGGCGGCGCGGACGGCGGCGCGGACGGCGCGGCGCGCACAGGTAGGCTGCGGCCGGGCACGCCCCGCGCGCGCCCGCGGGACAGGGGGCCGTTTGGCGGTCGGAACCGAGCTGGCGAGGGTGTCGAACCTCCGCAGCCTGTCAGACGGGTTGTTCAGAACCAACCTGTTAGCACGCATAACTCCTCGTCTGTTTTTCTTGATGCCGTGCAAGCCAAGATAAATGCGCGGGTTTGGACGGCCTGAGATTGGGCGACTCCCCTAGCAGACCCTTCTAATTGTGTGCCCCACACAACATCCTGACGCCCTGTGGCAGACTTGAAGAAAATGTACGAGTTTAAGCTTAGGTAGTCGGTATTAAGCTTAAAAGTACTCAAGAACTGAATCCGGTTCCGCTCTGTGCCGCGAATCTCCCAAATGCCAACCCGGCTCTCGCCTCGGCTGTACCGACGCACCTAGGAGTGCGAGCTGCGAGGTGGAATTCAGGAGGCGATGGTTCCAGGCAGGCCGTGCTGCGCCGCCGAGGCCAACTCCGTTGTGTGACGCGCGCAAGTCACCGCGTTTCCCAGGCTGTGCAGTAGGGGTTTTTTGATTCACACAGTGAGCTCTTCTAGTCCTCTTCAGCCCTTGTTATCTGGAATAGAGTTTCAGCATGTTAGAAGAATGGAAATAATGGGAATACTAAATGGTGATGATAAAAAGGGTGTGACTTGGAAAGCCCTATAAAGCCAGATATTGAGAGCTGTGTTCACCAATAGAGTAGCCACGACACACGTGTGATGTTTAAATGTTAAAATTAAAAATTCAGTTCTGTCTTCATAGAAAGTGTTGTGGGGCAGAGTTGATGGAAGACCGTAGTGCTAAGAATCATAATATGCCTTTGAGGTTTCTTGATTCCCTTCTACCCACCGGTAAAGTTGCTGCTTAGAAGTCATCGCTGACCCAGCAAAGTGAATTGTGAGAATTCCGGTGGTTAAGAAAGAGTAACGAGGGGCGCCTGGGTGGCTCAGTTGGTTAAACCGCTGCCTTCAGCTCAGGTCGTGATCCCAGGGTCCTGGGATCGAGCCCCACATCGGGCCCCCTGCTCATGCGGGAAGCCTGCTTCTCCCTCTGCCTGCCACTCCCCCTGCTTGTGCTCGTTCTCTCTCTCTCTCTCTCTCTCTCTCTCTCGCTATCTCTGTGTCAAATAAATAAATAAAATCTTAAAAAAAAAAAGAGTAACGAGTAGAGAAAAGTTTACCAACGGACTTGTTTTGAGATTCTGGCTGTGGCAAGTAGGACTGGAAGGTAATGAGGAAGCCTGTGCACAGCCTTTGCACACACCTCTGGGTGTTTGATTGTGAGCCAGCCGTTGGCGGTGAGTCCCAAAAGTCAAGGCATATGAGGCGTTCTGGAGGCCTCTGAGATCATGTAGCAAGCAAATAATAAATGTTAACTGTTCGCTGATAAATGCCATGTGCCAGTGCCTAAAATAGCACCTAGCACAGAATACTTAATAGTAAATATTTGCTGGGGCGCCTGGGTGGCTCAATCGTTAAGCGTCTGCCTTCAGCTCAGGTCATGAAACCAGGGTCCTGGAATCGAACCCCGCATCGGGCTCCCTGCTCGACGGGAAGCCCGCTTCTCCCTCTCCTTCTGCCACTCCCCCTGCTTGTGTTCCCTCTCTCGCTGTGTCTCTCTCTGTCAAATAAATGAAATCTTTAAAATAATAATAATAATAAATATTTGCTTACTTACTAGGTGCCAGGTATTAGTCTTAGATTTGTACCTATGTTAATTCATTTAACCCTCAAAATAACCCCAGGTGATAGCAGGCTTCCTGGTGTGCATCAGTGCAGGCTTTGATCCCTGTGGTCACCTGGGTACTCAGAGGTGCCCACACTTTAAATCCTTATTATCTTTGTTATTTTTTTGTTTTTTAAGATTTTATTTATTCATTTGACAGAGAACACAAGCAGGGGGAGCGGCAGGCAGAGGGAGAAGCAGGCTCCCCGCTGAGCAGAGAGCCCAACTCGGGGCGAGCCAGGACCCTGGGATCATAACCTGAGCCGAAGGCAGATGCTTAACCAACTGAGCCACCCAGGCGCCCCTGAATACTTGTTTTAAAATGCTATTTCACGTGGGCCCTGTTAGCACAGCGTGCCACAGTGATCCTGTACTCTATAGTTAACTCTCTTGTTTTTTTCTTGTTGTTTTAAGTAATAAAGGCAGGTGGTAAAAAAGAGAAGAAACCAAACCGTACAAAAGATCATTCAGTGTAGAGTATGTTCTCCTGTGCAGAAACTGCCCCCAATCCTATCGTATCTTTCAGAGAGCCATCATCTCCCCCACGCAGTTTTCACACAAACCACAACACACACAGCAGGCTGTACATCTTGCTTGTTCATGTGTCTTCTCCTAAAGGATGGGTGACCAAGCGTGTGTTCCTAAGCGTTAACGTGCTCAGCACAATGGCTTGCACACGGGTGCTCACTAAAGAGGTCTTGCTTGCTTGCTTGCTTGAAGATTTTATTTATTTGGGACGCCTGGGTGGCTCAGTAGTTAAGCGTCTGCCTTCCGCTCAGGTCATGATCCCGGGGTCCTGGGATCGAGCCCCACATCGGGCTCCCTGCTCAGCAGGAAGCCTGCTTCTCCCTCTTCCACTCCCCCTGCTTGTGTTCCCTCTCTCGCTGTCTCTCTCTGCCAGAGAGAGGGAGAGAGAGAGCACAAGCAGGGGGAGCGGCAGGCAGAGGGAGAAGCAGAATCCCCGCTGAGCAGGGAGCCCCATGTGGGACTCCGTCCGAGGACTCTGGGATCATGACCCGAGCGGAAGGCAGAGACTTTAACTGACTGAGCCACCCAGGCGTCCCAAGGGCATTCTTACATTTTAGAATTATTTAGGTACATATTTGCCATCAGACATGTGGTATGTATTATGCTTTTCTCTATTCTTCTTCCATGGGAAATGTCCAAGTGGCCCTCTACAGCTGGTGCAGCTCCTTTCACAATGAATCACAGTAACGTTTTCCTAGTTACTTTGCTGAACGCGAGTTAGCCCCAAGATGCTAAGTGAAAATTCTTGACAGCTGGGAAAGTGTTAAAGTTTTCCTCCTTGTCAATAGAGGGCAACACTGTACTGTGTTATAAGATCCTTCAAGACACCAAAGGGCTACTCAAAACTAAAACTCAAATTTATCAAGAATCTACTTACTCCTCTATAATTGAGAACCCAACAACAACAACAACAACAAAACCCATAAGGCCCACTCCCCATCCTGCGTACTCACTCTCTATACCAAAGGTGACAACCAGCTGTGAGCTGTTTGTGTCTGGTAGTTGCATTTTATATGCTGCATAGTATAAAAGAATTAAAAAAGTTCTGGGACACCTGGGTGGCTCAGTCAGTGAAGCGTCTGCTTTTGGCTCAGGTCATGATCTCAGTCCTGGGATCAAGTCCCACATGGAGCCTACTTCTCCCTCTGCCTACCGCTCCCCTTGCTTGTGCTCTCTCTCTCTGACAAATAAATAAATGAAATATTTTTTAAAAATAAAATAAAAAATAAAGCAATTTTTTTTTTTTAGCCAGTGAGCAGGCTTTACATAAAAATCCAGATGTCCAGCTTCTGAAAACTCTGCGTCTGATCCTGTTGACCAGCATTCTTCCCGCCAGAGGGTGGTGCTCAGCGGGGTTGCTCCCTGGATATCCATGGGGCCCCAGGTCCCCTCCAGCTCATCCTCCCATAGCAGCACTCATTTCTGTCCCAGCCTGGCCCCTGCGCAACAGTCAAGATGGAGATCCCTGAACAGACCATTTATTTGGCAATTCAGGAAGTATAGAACTTGGTGACATTCTCTGTGTTTTGCTGATGTGCTGAACTTTTTTTTTTTTAAGATTTTATTTATTTGAGAGAGATGAGAGAGAGCACAAGTGGGTAGGAGAGGGAGAAGCAGACTCCCTGCTGAGCAAGGAGCCCGATGTGGGAATCGATCCCGGGAACTTGGGATCATGACCTAAGCCAAAGGCAGATGCTTAACGAGCCACCCAGGCACCCTGTGCTGAACTCTTATTAATGAAGCTTAGAGATGTGAATAGCTTGGCCAAAGTCACAAAGCCAGTAAACCTGAGAGATGGAATGGCTTAAAAATCCGCTTCACATTTTCCGAAGCTGTAAATTGAGCATGAATGGGAACAGGTGAGTCATGGAGCAGAAGGATGGATGGGATGGCCGCAGAGCACAGCCTTGTACCCAGGAAGGGTGATAGTGATGTGGGAAACAAAGGCCAAAGAAAAATTAAACATCTATACTACCTGCAGCCCGTTGGCAAGTCCTTGAAACAGGCCGAGTGACATTCTTCTAGGAACTCTGCTGTCTCCATGTTGATACTTTGCTAAGGGCAAAAGGCAATCTTACCCCAACCCCCAGGTCCTGTAAATCTACTTTAACATACAAAACTTCATTTGGAAACTTACTTTATCTCTAAACCTCCCCGCCAAGATAGATGTTGGCAATCATCCCTACCGATATACATCTGAAGGGTCTCATTACTAAGTTTTTATTAGATGGTAAAAATGGCCTTTTCCCAACAACAGGAGCCCCTTCAAGGTCCTGGAAACCTTGTTTCCAAATTCCTTAGAGACTTACACTATCCCTGACCCCCTCCCAACTTGAAAGTACATAATGGGCCACTCCTTACGACACCAGTGCCCACAGGTCCTGTCCCATGCTTTAATAAAACCACCTTTTTGCACCAAAAACGGATCAGGAATTCTTTCTTGGCTGTCGGCTCTGAACCCCAACATCTTTCCTACATCAATAGAAGCCACTGCCACCCATCGCTAATCACCTAAAACACTAGTCTTCATGTTGTTTTGCTCACATGACCCCCTAAAAAAAATCTTTAGCTTTTAAGGTTGACATGTTTTCTGGCATATTGTAAACATTAGTTTTTTTTTTTTAAGATTTTATTTATTTATTTGACAGAGACAGCAAGAGAAGGAACACAAGCAGGGGGAGTGGGAGAGGGAGAAGCAGGCTTCCCGCTGAGCAGGGAGCCTAACTCGGGGCTCGATCCCAGGACCTTGGGACCATAGACCTGAGCTGAAGGCAGACGCTCAACAGACTGAGCCACCCAGGTGCCCCAAGTATTAACTTTTTAAAATAAAAGTGTTACATTATTCTTTAAGTGGTATGTAAATACCTAAATGATTTGATAAGCACTACCATTCATCTTTTAAGTTATTTGAAAACTTTACCATTTTTTTAAAGATACTTCTTTTTGAGTAATCTCTACACCCAACGTGTGGCTCGAACCAACCCCAAGATCAAGAGTCGCATGCTCTACCAACTGAGCCAACCAGGCGCCCCTGAAAACTGTATATTTTCCCTTTTATTCCTTGAACTTGAATTTCTATTCCATTTCCATATGTTTTAAATTTTTTTATTATTTTTAAAAAATTATTTTTTTTAAGTTTTTTTTATTTTTTATTAGAGTGCAAGCAGGGGGAGTGGCAGGCAGAGGGAGAGGGAGACGTAGGCGCCCTGCTCAGCAGGGAGCCTGACGTGGGGCTCGATCCCAGGACCCCAGGATCACAACCCGAGCCGAAGGCAGGCACTTAACCGTCTGAGCCCCCAGGCGCCCCAAAAATTATTATTTTAAAAAATTTTATTTATCATCCTGTCATACATCTCAGGGAAAAAAAGTAAATTAAAATTCAATAAACTTTTTTGTGACTAAAGCTCTAAGTGTATAAAATATTTTTCTTGTGGAATGAATTACCATTAAAATAATAAGAAATGCTAAGTTGAGAAAAGGGTTTATTTTTATACATAATTACTATAAACTTTTCTTGTTATTGTTTCTCTTAATGGGCTAGTTTGGTTTTTTTATTAGCATGTATCCACAAATGAAAATATATGGTTTACTCATAAAATATGTTGGGACTCAGCATCAATTTTATTCCCATTTTTTGGTTTTTTAATAGATGCGAGCCTTGAGAAACCTGGTTCATATAAACAGGAAATAGAAATGGACAGTTTTGTTATAGTAAGGTCATACTTTTGAATTCCTTCCAATTATATGCCCCAAGTCGCATTGATCTTTTGTCAAAATTTATTTTTTGTTTCTTTATTTTTGTTTAATAAAAATGAAAATCACCTGACTTGCAAAAGGCTGCAACCCAATCATATTAAATTTCCCAGCCTCAGAAGGTTCCCCCAAAAAAGCCTTTACCCAGACTTATTAAATGAAAATTATACCTGTAATTCTTTCAATAGTTACTTAACCCAGAACACTCAGAATAGTTGGGGACACCTGAATGTTGCTTATTTCATTACACCTTTGTCAACACAGTATTATTTGCCAACACAAAAAGACTTAGTTTATGTGTACTTCAAATCCATTTTCTTCAAAAACATGGAGCTATAGTATTGGCCCATATAATGTATGGAACATGTTCCTCAAATTAATGGTACATCCTAGGAAGGAGTATTGAGACAGGCTGAGAATAATTACATATATCTGTGGGAGAAAAAAATGTTTAATTTTCTGAATTCAGGCTAGCCGGCAGAGAACTAGAGACCGTCCCCCTCCCCCAAGACCAGTTTCCTTAACTAAGTACAATAAAGCAGTGAGAGGTTGAAAGCCCTTCATGCTTTGGGTAACTTGAATCATCAAAGGAGGCTTCACCTCCACTTGGTGTGTGGGACTCTCTGGACCCCAGGTCGGTGTAATGTAGTTTTGAGTAGCATTGTTGGTGAGGTCCGGAGTCAACAGCCAGGAAAGAATTCTTGAGACGTCTGTGGTGCAAAAAGGTGATTTTTAATGGGATAGGACCAGTGGGCAGAAAGAGCTGCTGCACTGGGGCTGTGAGGAATGGCTGATTATATATGTGGGAGTTGGGGGGAGGTAAGGACAAAGGGAGGTGTCCAAAAGGACGTCCATACGCTAAAGTCTCTGGATACTGCAGGCCTTGCTATTGTCAAACTAAGGTTGCTTTTCCCTCTGGGAAAGCATTAGCGTCAAGACAGTTGGGAGGAGTGTTATACTCTGCCTGCCTCAAGTATTTGTCAGTGGGGCTACAGGATAGAAGGAAATTTAATTTTATTTACATTCCCTTTTGCCTTTGTTTCCCATATCACTGTGGAGGGGCGGGTGATGTTAGGGCTCCAGGAAATTGAGTCTGTGGGTCTCTAGACGTCAGGCTGTTGGTAACAGGTTGGTAACTTGGTAACAGGATGCTTTTGCCTTCTAAATCTCTAGGACATTGGTAAACTGATGGAGACTCCTGTCCTATGGGACTGTGATCTTTGTCAGTTAACCATTTGTTTTTCCCTTTCTTTAGTTTTAGAGCAGCCAGGAGTGCCTGAGGAATGTCACACATAGCCCACCTGTGGGGGAGGGGGTGCAGGTGTCAGCTTGTGCTTTGTCCTCAGCTTGCTCTCTGCTCCCTCATCAGGTGCATCCAGATGCACCTATCCAGATGTGGGATAGGGAGTAAATCTATAACCAGGCGGCAGGAGTGCAAGAGCACCTGGCTCCCAGGCTCCCAAACAGACCAGGTTCAGCCACTGGCCACTGATAGGATCCAATGGCAGAGAGATGAGTGGTGGTGAACCAAGGAAGGAATTTATTGCAGTGAGGCCAGTACTGGGAAGACGGGAGTAGCATCTCAAAGGCGGTCTACCAGTGTTGAAAATACCCTAGATTTGTATAAGGAAAACGTGGGACAGTTGGTGGGTACAGGCAGGTGGGCAGTAAAGGCCTCGTCCCTCGTCTTGCAGTTGGTCACACGGAGTCTCGCTGGTTCAGGGCAGTCCTTACTGTAAGTTTGGGTTCCCATCAGGGGATGCCTCACCCGCATAAGCTGGAAAGAACTTAATCAATTAGAAAAGTACAGATTGAGGTGAAAATGGAGGTGGTTGAAGCCCTCCGCTTCACATGGGGCTGTCCTGTGGAGCTGTGAAACTCGAGGGGCTGGAAACGGATCTGCAAACATCTGGGCTTGCCTGGCGCTGCGCCAGAATCCTGGCTCTGCGTTCTCCTGAGAAGAGCTGGTTTACAGACCTGGGCGTGGTGTCTTCGTCAGCAGTAAATCTTTGCAAATTGCTTCTGTGTTTATTGGTCCATTCAGGGTTTCTCCCTCTCTTGATGAAGCTTTACAATTTTTATTTTCTTTGCCAATCATCCAGCTCATTAACGCTTTCAAATTATAAATACAATATATAGGATTCTCTCGAAATTTAAAAATAATTATACCACCCCCATCCATTTAATCAACCCATTTTTCTCTGGTCAGATGTTTAGACCGATTTTTCTTTGCCAGGAGCTGTCTTCGTGGGTGTCTGAGACTTTAGAATTTTTAGTCCCAGGCTATCTTAAGTCTCAATAATCTTGACTTAATACCTTTATTATAAATTCAGTCATAATTCATTTCTTTTCCATTTAGCTATCCATGTGTTCGCTCTTTTAACTATCTTTATGTTCATATTAATTAATGACCATGAAATCAAACATCCATAAAGGATTAATATCAATATTAATTTATACAGAATATACAGATCACTAGACAATTCAGCAAGGAAGTTGATTTAACATGCTATTTACAGAATCCTAGGAGACGATAAACGTGAAAAGCTACTTCACCTCAGTAGTGATCAGACAGCTGCCAACTGAAACAATACGACCCCCCCTCCCCCCACCACCACCACGGTCCGGTCGGCAAATGTTTCGGACTAAACGTTGGCGGGAGTTCAGAGGGGCGCACGCGGGCTTATTTTTTCCCGCCAGGACTCGGTTAATCGCGTGGAGTCTGCATTTTTAATTTCTAGGCTGCCTGCTTCCTGGGTATGAGGGGGACACTTGGTAAACATTTGTCATGGGTATCTGATACTGACGGCCCACAAACTTTTTATACTCTTAAAACAAAGCGAAAGCATTAATGGGAGTTGGAAATGGAAACGGAGCTGAGTTTTTCTGATTCTAGCGGTTTTCCATACAAAAGGGTAAGACTCGTACTGCCCACTAACTGTGGACTGAAGATGGACAACGAGAATTTGAGTCTGGAACTCAGGAGCAGAGACTTTTCTAAAGGCACTCGGGTTGACACCGTCGGACAAAAGAACAGGCTCAGAGAGTCATCTGAGGAGGCCGAGGACAGGGCCACCGCGCGGAGAATACAAAATGGCGCCCTTTAGCTTCGTGGGCGTGGCCTCCGGCTGGGCCCGTCCAATCGGAATGTCCAAGGGCGGGACACTTTGCCCAGCTCGTCTTCCAGCTTGGGGCGGGGCTTCCTGGAGTTTGTCCCCTTCCATTGGTCAAAAATGGAATTACTGGCAGTGGGAAAGGCCAATCGCGGCGAGCCTTAGTAGAGCCGTCGCCTTAGCAACGCGCGGAGCCGCCTGGGAGAGGTCTCTCGAGACTGACCCGCGCGGCTCAGGCTGCCCAGGTGCAGCCGTGACCTCCAGGGATCAGAGGCCGGTTGACTCCGAAGCCCAGTTATCCGTCCAGCCGCACGTCCGCTCTCGGAACTGATCGCCTGGCCCCCCGCCAGGCCGATCTTCCATCCTCCTCACCCGGACCACCCTCAGTCCACTAACGAGGCTGTCCCTGTTTCCGCCCCAACAGCTTCCAGGTGCCAGATGATGGAGGAGCGTGCCAACTTGATGCACATGATGAAACTCAGCGTCAAAGTCTTGCTCCAGTCTGCCCTGAGCCTGGGCCGCAGCCTGGATGCGGACCATGCCCCCTTGCAGCAGTTCTTTGTAGTGATGGAGCACTGTCTCAAACACGGGCTTAAAGGTGAGCTGGAGGGGGCGTTCGGGGGCGGGAATTCAGGCCAGCTGTTTGCTCAGCATGTATTCATCAGTGCTGAGCATTGTTCTGGGTGCTGGGATAACAGCAGGGTACAAAACAGACGCGGTCCCTGCACGCCAGACCCCACATCGAGAGCAGCACTGTCAGGGGAAATGCCAGGCAAGCTACTTGTGCAATTTTTAGTGTTTTGGTAGCCACGTTAAAAAAAAAAAAAAAAGTAAAAAGAAACAGGTGAAATTAATTTTAAGAACACATTTTATTGACCCCAGTATATCCTAAATATTACGATTTTGACACATAATCAGTATTTAAAAGCCTTATTGATGAGGTATTTTACATTCTTCTTCATTCTACTAAGGCTTAAAAACCCACTGTGTGTTTTATACCACATCTCAATTGCACCAGCTACATTTCACGTGCTTGGAGCACAGTTCTAGGGACCAGACAATAAATGCAGAAACAGACTTAATTACAAAATGCTACAAATTCAAGGAAGCAGCAAGGGTTTCAGCTAGATGAGAGGGGAGGTCTTGCTGGGGAGGTGAACTGTGAGCTGAGACCTAAAGGAGAAAAAGTTAGCTGTGCCAAGATTTGGGACAAGAGCATTCCTTAGTGGGGGAAGAAACAGGTGGGCAGAAGTCCTGGGTGAGACCAGGCTTGGTTTGAGGAAGATGCCAGTGGGCTCAGAGGGAGAGTGGGAGGAGATGAAGTCGGGGAAATGGATTGGGGGCGGGGGAAGGCTGGATCATGTAGGCCTTTACAGGTCATGTGAAGAGTTGGATTGTATTGTAGGTGTATCTGGAGGATTTTAAGCAAAGGGGAAAACATGACCTGACTTAACGTTTTTAAAAGAACTTCCATGTGTGTGAAGAGATTGTAAGGGCGGGGGGGGGGAGGGTGAGGAGGTGGCCATATTAGGAGCAAGGAGACCCATGAGAATGTTACTGGCAGCAATTTAGATGAGGGATGGTGGTGACGATTTGAAATCTGGCGTTGATGTTAGCATCAGGTAGGAGGGAGAAAGGGGAAGGATTTCTACAAGCCATATATACGTATATATGTGCATATGTATGCGCACACACTTGTTTTATTTCACGGGCAGTAAATACTTGGAGTAAGAGCATAGTCGGGTGTCACAGAAGCCCTGTCACCAGAGGAAGGGAGAGCTCGTTTGTTACCTGACGTCTCCGAGTCCCCAAGACTAAATCAGGATTAAGCAGTAGAGCTGTGCATTGTCCATTTGGCTTTTGGGAGAGAGACTGTGGGCGCCTGAGGACATTTTGCAACCTGTTCTTATGAATAACACTTTTGTTTTCCCTTTTAGTTAAGAAGAGTTTTATTGGCCAAAATAAATCTTTCTTTGGTCCTTTGGAGCTGGTGGAGAAACTTTGTCCAGAAGCATCAGATATAGCCACTAGTGTCAGAAATCTGCCAGAATTAAAGTGAGTGAGAAGTAGCTAACACTGATTTAATGTTTGAAAAAAAACTCCCTCGTATTTACCCATTTCTCAATTCCTTGCTGATAAACTTTTTCTAATTTAGAACAAATTGTAACATGAGGGACACTCCACTTAAACTTTAGTCTCAGCTCTGCTGCTCATTATCCTCAAAATCTTGAGCAAGATTTGCCCCTCCCTGAGCCTGTTTCCTTATCTTTAAGATGGGGACAGCGATTCCTATAGGTCACACGAGGTCATGTAGTTTGAAAAGGTGTTGTGGGGACCTGGCTGGCTCAGTCAGTAGGGCACTTGACTCTTGATCTCAGGTCGTGAGTTCCGGCCCCATGTTGGGCATAGAGATTTTAAAAAGAGAGAGAGAGAGAGAGAGAAAAGATGTTGTTACCTGAGGAGCAGTTACAAGAGTAAAGGGGGTCATTGTTATGCTCCTGGAATCCATGCTTTGGATGCATCTGGGCAGTTTTCAGAATAATATAGTTCGGGCCAGATTTTAGATTGTAGGACATGGGACATTTGTGAAAAGGTGAGACATATCATTTACCATGTCTGGGTTGGCACCTTGGGATATCCATGCATTGGCTCAAAATAAAAAAACTGGACAGAATACAAACAAGGCATCAAAAAATAATGATGTAATGTAGGGTGATTAACCTTACAATAAAAAAATTAAAATAATACAAACAAGGGGTCATCATGAAATCTGCATTTAGAAGGGGACCTAGAGAGCCTTGGGCCCATGCAAAACACCCTGCCTCTCCCACAGGGGGACACCACTGTCCAGCCTCACACACTTCTGAGGAACCAGCCTGTTCCATTTTCAGATAATAATCGCCAGCATTTACCAAGGGCCTGCCGTGTGCCAGGCATTCTGCTAAGGACATTTCAGGATCTCATTTAATTCCCCACAACGAAGCCTCCAGGAAAGCTGTTGGGATCCACGCATGATTAAGTACAGAAACTGAGACAGAGCAGCTAAGTAACCTGCCCGAGGGCCCTTAGCAAGCGAGTGGTGCAGCCAGGAAGGGAACACAGGTCTAAGGGATTCTAGAACCCTCTAAGTCCCACTACGTCCCTTGCTTTGGAGCCCTGTGCGGTCTTCTCAAGATGAAACTGAAGCCTTGGTCCCTGTCGCTAGTTCAGCCCTTGGGCCTGTCCCACAGAAGGCAAATCCTTTTGCACTGTGACAACTTTCAAATACGTATTTAGTGAGCTCTCAGGAGCTTCCCATGTCTGCTTTGTTTCAGCAGTTCCTTTTGTGGTCCTGCTGCCCATCCCTTCCGACCAGCTCACTCCCTCATGAGGGAAGACGCGAGATGGAGGCCTGGTGCGTTCAGATCGGAGCAGACCGGGGCTGTCCCTCCTCCAACACTCAGACCTCTGTTTCCAGTTGTGCACGGGAGGCAGTTTTGAAGTCTTGTGCTAACAAAGAGCTCTCTGTCCGCTAAACCCACCACCTCCTTCCCTTCTTACTCTGTGGCTGTGAACAAGTGACAGGCTTGGCCTGTCGAAATCCTCCCCTGTCTCCTGAAAAAGAAAGACACAATAGTTCCCTTCTCTTGATGGCTCCAGAGGAGTAGCCTCACTGGGGGCCGTGTGGGAGAGGACCTTTTTTTTTTACTATTTCATTAAATTGTTATAAAAGTTCTAAAATTTTCACATTTTGGAGGTTTGTGACTACTGTTTTGGGGGGTGGAAGGGTAGTTTGAAACTTTTGCAGGATGCATTTTGCATCCTGAGGAGTCTTGAGTTTAGTTCCCCTATCTAATTGAAATGAAAATACCTTTTGCAGTATGACCCTGTCACCCAAAGATTTTCATTGTTCTCAGGTCACTGGTGGGTTTCTTTGTTTGCTTGTTTGTTGTTGTTTTAAGATTTTTATTTATTTATTTGAGAGGGCACAAGTTGCGGGGGTGAGGGGGAAGGCAGAGGGAGAGGAAGAACCAGACTCGAATCCAGGATCCTGAGATCATGACCTGAGCTGAAGGCAGACACTTAACCGACTGAGCCACCCAAGCTTCCCCACAACATCATTTTTGCAGTGGCCACAGAGCATTCAGAAAAAATAACTCCCCTTTGGACTTTGTGCTTGTCTTCGGTTTTTCATTATCCGAAGAGTGCGGCAGACCATCTCCACACATATGTTTTTATGTGCATCCTAAATTACTTCCTTACCACACATTATTAGAGCTTTGATAACCCGATCAAATCACTGGCTGGAAGTGTAGTGCGGGTTTATGTGCCTGACAGGCCACACATGTCTGTGTCCCTTTGCCACATCATGCCAGTATTCAGTATTTTTTTTTCCTACTTTATTTCCTTTCCTTTGTGCTCTGGTTTAACCTCATTTATTTAGGGGAGGGAGGGTTTCAAAGCCTTTTGTACTGATGGGTTGGATTAACCCCTACGGGCCTGGCTCTTGGAAGCACTCAGCCCCCACAGCTCCCTTTGGTGCAGATACTGATTGCAGGAGCACCTCGACTACTTTCGTAGAGATCACAAATGCCGTCACTCTGCCTAGAACAGAATCTTTCTCTTCAAGCACTGTTAGGTCTACAGTTGGGAGGCTTTCTGTTTTCTTCTGATGTTTAGAGCAGGCCTTTTCAAAATTGCCTCTTTGAGATTGGTTCCACAACAGCACGAATGTACTAAACGCTAACGAAGTGTACACGTAAAAAGGTAAATTTTATGTTCTGTGTGTTTTGCGACAATTAAACATAAAATTGCACCTTTGAGCTAATGCCTCAAAACGTGTTGGATATATTAATAGAAATAGAGATATATTAGATATATAATAGATATATTAGATATATAATAGATTTATTAATGAGATACATTAATCCGTTGAAGAAATGTTTATCCAGTATACAAACCTAACCTGATATTTCCTGGCCCCCTGTGAAATTTTATGAATATATGCAAAGTTTTATCTAATTGTATTTGTTCCAGAAATCAGATTTTTTTTGTGGCTTAAGAGGTTTTTTTTGTTTTTTTAAAAAGATTTTATTTATTTGAGAGAGAGTGAGAGCTAGAGAGAGAGAGAGCACACACAGAAGGAGAGAGAAAAGGAGACTCCCCGCTGAGCAAGGAGCCCGATGGGGGACTCGATCCCAGGACCCTGGGATTATGACCTGAGCTGAAGGCAGATGCTTTCACTGACTAAGCCACCCAGGCATCCCTAAGAGTTTTTTTCTCTTGTCAAAACAAACAAACCAGGGGACCCTGGGTGGCTCAGTCAGTTAGGCTTCTGCCTTCGGCTCAGGTCATGGTCGCAGGGTCCTGGGATCGAGCCCCGCATCGGGCTCCCTGCTCTGCGGGGAGCCTGCTTCTCCCTCTCCAACCCCCGCCCCCCACTGTGTTCCCTCTCTCGCTGTCTCTCTCTCTCTCAAATAAATAAATAAAATCTTAAAAAAAATTTAATTAAAAAAAAAATACATGTCCTTGATACAAAATTCAAATAGTACCCAAAGGTTTGCAGAGAGTGGTTTTCTGGGCCTTCCCACCCAAGCTCCAAAGCTGCCATTCCCTGTGTTCACATGCACGTACGTTCAGGAAGATGTGTATCTCTTTAGCTAAATTGGGGGCTTGGGGGGTTTTGGTGTTATGCCTTAACAGTTTGGTTCTCTGAATTCCAGGACAGCTGTGGGAAGAGGCAGAGCCTGGCTGTATCTTGCACTCATGCAAAAAAAACTGGCAGATTATCTGAAAGTGCTCATAGACAATAAACATCTCTTAAGGTATTTTACCTCCTATCTTTGCTGTCTTTTGCTCCTAAAATACTTGGAACATCGTTCTAGAGATGGTTTGGAATTAAAACAAGAGTGTGTGATGTACACAGCTTTAAAGAGTATTTCATTTTTCGAGCACGGGTATCTGAAAGTCATTATGAATGAAGATTCATATTGCTTTTCATTTTGAAAAGTCCTTTCAAAGATAATTCTTCAAAAATACCTAAGATTAAGTAACTGACAACCTACTCGATTAGGCTTCAACAAAATAGTACTTACTAGATTTCTTGATAACAGGAAAAAATGACTTTAAAACTAGATGCAGTGAACAATTTTAAAGTATAAAAACCTGCCTTTTATAAGAGAACATAGCTATATTGCCTATTTTAGGATTCCATATCCATCTTGTAAAAGTTTATATTTCTTAGCATCCGTAATGACTGACTAGCTGTCCCTGAAATTTATGACTGGTTCATTTTTGATACTTACATATAAGCAAAAATAATCCTCACAAAAGGAATTTTCTCTAGAACATGGGAATTTATAAGGGAAGAATCTCTCTAGAGTTAATTTGTCTGATTGAGTTAAAAATATCTTTTATAGTATGGCCTGCCACTCAAAATTTTTCATTGTTTTCAAGTTATGGCTTATTATTGAGCATATCTTTATATGATAAATAGGGATTTCAAAATACTTTTTCAAATACTTCACCTACTTTGTGTTTTCAGTACAATCACACTGAGTAACTTTGAGGTGTGGATTTTGTTCTAATGAACTAATTCTTTTTTTAATTGAAATATAGTTGATACATAATGTTACATCAGTTTCAGGCATGCAACAGAGTGATTCCACAAGTCTACACTATTATGTTGTGTTCACAAGTGTAGCTACTATCTGTCGCCATACGAAGTGATGACAGTACCATTGACTGTGTTCCCTGTGCTGTACCTTTCATCCCCATGACCTCATGACCTAATTCTTAAGACACTGAGGTCTCACGCACACTCACACATACACACAGTTCGTAAACGAGCACATCATTGGTGCCCAGGAGCTGTAGTAGATGGAGCCCCCTGTGAATGGCTGAGGTGACTGGGAGGTGAGGAAGTAAAAGCAGCCAGTGTGGAAGGGGGGGTTTATTCTTGGATGTGGGGGGCTATGGGGTCCTGCTTCCTGTTGGCATGAGTGTAGAAATAGCGCATAGCAGTGCGGAAGAAGGCGCCAATGGGGACAGGAGGGGCAGACTGATGGTCGGGAACACAGAAGCCAAGAGGAGACGGGAAGGACTGGGGTCCAGGGTCCGCAGAGGAGTCAGCCTCAGATTGGAGGCAGGAGGAGCCTGTCCTCAACCACGGGAAGAGAAGAGGCAGCAGCACTTGAAGTGGGGGCGGGAAGTGAAAGGCAGAAGGAAACTGGCACCAGGGGGTTTCTGGGCACCTGGGGAAGCTGGCAGCCTGGCCCATCTGTTGAGAGGTGAAAGGACAGGGCAGGTTGGGGAGAAGGTGGTGAACATCCCTTCCTGAGCGGCCGGCCACCTGTTGTGTCAATCTCTTCCAGTGAGTTCTATGAGCCCGAAGCATTAATGATGGAGGAAGAGGGGATGGTGATTGTCGGTCTGCTGGTGGGACTCAATGTTCTTGATGCCAATCTCTGCTTAAAAGGAGAAGACTTGGATTCTCAGGTAGGATGGGAATCTTGAGCCCGGGATTTTACACGGGGCTGTGGACATGGGCCGGGCCTTCTTATGGGCAAAGGGCAGAGGGTATCTGCTCCAGGGCTGTGCCAGGTGCTATGCTGGGGAAGGGAAGTCCGGGCCAGGGCACGGAGGCACACGGTGGTGGAGGCTGGGCTCAGTTTGCAGGCCATCTGTACCATGCTAACGGCCATGCTTTTGTCCGTGGAGCTTCAAGAAGCCATTGGAGGTTTTTAAGCAGTGTGCTGGCATAATCAGGCCTAGGTTTGAGAAAGATCAATCTAGCAACCATCCAGGTGATGAGTTAGACGCGGCCAAGAGTGGAGACCGCAGAAACATGGAGCAGACAAGTCCCAAAGGTTAGGTGGGGACTGGAAGATAAGAGTTGGGAGAGATTGGGGAAGGGAGGTGATGCAGGGGGCATGAAATGAAAGCGGGCGGCCAGGAGCAGAGCACCCTGAGGGGGGCAGGACCACCCTCCTTTCTTCCTGCCCGGGAGCAGGTGACCAGGGCTGAGGCCTAAATTCCTGGTGGTGGGGACGGTAAGTGAGTGAGGGGGAGAGACACCTCCCCACCTCCACCCCCGTCAGGGCACGAGTGGCTGTGGCTGAGCAACTGCCTGGCCTGCTTCCCACCGCAAGTTTGGGTACAAAGAATCTAAAGCTTCCCCTAGTCCCTCCCTACCCAAGGCAGCGGTTTTTCTTTTTTCTTTTTTTCTTTTGGTTATAATCTCTCCTCACTTTTTCCCCCTGATAGTTTTGTTGTTTTTGCATGTTGAAGATGTTTCAAAAAATAAAGAGAAGTATTTTTGAAAAGAACCAAAACCTCACACTGAATCCCATTACTCAGAGAGAGCTAATTAATTTAATCCTACATTTTGATATCTGTCCTTTCAACACATGAATAAGGGTGTGTGTGTGTTTTTATATTTTAGAGGTATTTGGACTTTTTTTTTCAAACCAAAATATAATTATTCCAGGCACACACCATTTTGTAATTTTTTTTTTATTTGACACTATGTCCCACATGGCTCTCAATGTCAGTAGAGATATGAGGCATTTAAACGGCTGCACAGCAGAAACATTACCTCAGAGAGACTGTGGATTTGGTCCCAGACCACTGCAATTAAGCAAATATCTCAATAAAGTGAGTCATGACTCTTTGGTTTCCCAGTGCATGTAAAAGTTATGTTTACACTGTCCGTAGCCTGTCAAGTGTGGGGTAGCACCACATCTTTAAAAAAACAATCAATGTGTAAATAAATAATAAAAATTAAAATTAAGCTAAGTAAATTAAAAAGTCAATATAAAGTTTTGTGTTTTTTTAAGATTTTACTTATTTGAGAGAGAGAGCGAGCACGAGCAAGGGTAGAATGTCAGAGAGAGAGGGAGAAGAAGGCCTCCCGCAGAGCAGGGAGCCCGATGTGGGGCTCGATCCCAGGACCCTGGGACCATGACCGGAGCCGAAGGCAGATGCTTAACTGACTGAGCCACCCAGCCGCCCCCATACCTTAATTTTAAAATACTTTCTTGCTAAAAAATTCTAACCATCCTCTGAGCTTTCAGTGAGTCATAATCACTGATCACAGATCATCATAACAAAGGTAGAAATAGGAAAAGTTTGAAATATGTGATTACCAAAATGTGACACAGAGACATGAGGGGAGCAAATGCTGTTGGGAAAACGGTGCTGATAGACTTGTCCAACACGGAGCTGCCACAGACCTTCAACTTGTAAAAATGCAGTATCTGGGAAGTGCAGTAAAGCAAAGGGCAATAAAACGATGTATGCCTGTATTCATTTTATGAGCATACTGTAATTTATTTAACCAGTACCTTACTTAACTAAGGTTGATTCTGTATTACCACAGTACTGTATTACCACATCCTCATATGTCTTCATACTGTAGTCCATTGACTTCCTTAGAATAAATTTTGGGATTTCTGTGTTAAAGTAAACATTCTACATTAGTATTACGACATCATGATGTGCATTCTTGATCTTTTTCAATCTCATAGACCAAAACAACTCCTCAGATTTACATTTTTTTAAAAGCATGTTTAATGTGTTTTTTTTTAAAGATTTATCTTAAGAGCATGCACCACCAAAGGAGAGGGAGAGAATCTCAAGTAGGTTCCCCGCTGAGCGCGGAGCCCGAGGCAGGACTTGATCTCACAACCTTGAGATCATGACTTGAGCCAAAATCAAGAATCAGTCGAAGGATGCCTGAGTGGCTCAGTCGCTTAAGCATCTCCGTTCAATCATGATCTTAGGGTCCTGGGATCGAGCCCTGAGTTGGGCTCTCCGCTCAGTGGGGAGTCTGCTTCTCCTTCTCTCTCTGCCCCTCCCCCTGTTCATACGAGTGTGCTCTCTCAAATAAATAAATAAAATCTTTTTAAAAAAGTTTAATTAGGGATGCCTGGGTGGCTCAGTCCGTTGGGCGACTGCCTTCGGCTCAGGTCATGATCCCAGAGTCCTGGGATCAAGCCCCACGTCAGGCTCCCTGCTCACCGGGAAGCCTGCTTCTCCCTCTCCCACTCCCCCTGCTTGTGTTCCCTCTCTCGCTGTCTCTCTCTCTCTCTGACAAATAAAATCTTTAAAAAAAAATTTTTTTTAGGGCGCCTGGGTGGCTCAGATGGTTAAGCGTCTGCTTTCGGCTCAGGTCAGGATCCCAGGGTCCTGGGACCAAGTTCTATGTCGGGCTCCCTGCTCAGCAGGAAGTGTGCTTCTCCTTCTCCCTCTGCCGCTCCCCCTGCTCATGCTTTCTCTCTCTCTGTATCTCTCTGTCTCGAATAAATAAAAATCTTTAAATAAGTAAATAAATAAATATTTAATTTAAAAAAAAAGTCAGTCACTTAACTGAGCCACCCAGTCACCCCTATTTATTTTTTAAAGTAGGCTCCATGCCCAGTGTGGGGCTTGAACTCACAACCCTGAGATCAAGAGTCACATGCTCTATGATCTGAGCCAACCAGGCGCCCCAGCAGTCACGCTTAATGGACTTTTTCTTTATACCATCTAAGGTATTATGCTTAGAAAGTCCTTTCCCATCTAAAAATTAACCTGATTTTTTAAGTCAACTGTATTTTTTACATTTAAATAATGCCTGTCATTTATTTTGACATAGTGTGAAATAGGAGTCTAGGTTTCATTTACAAACAGTAAACCGATTTCTCAATATCATGTATCGAGTACATTTTTCTACTAATTTGAAATTTCACCTTTATTTCACACCTTTATGTGTGAAATATCCATAATCCAATGAGGTTTATTTCTGGACTCAGAAGCCTAGTCTCTGAATCTCTTTATCCTATGTCAGTAACAGTCTTTTTTTTTTTTTTTAAGATTTTATTTATTAGAGTGAGCACAAGTGGGGGGTGGAGGGGCAGAGGGAGAGGGAGAGGGCTCCCCACGGAGCAGGGAGCCCGACGCGGGGCTGGATCCCAGGACCCTGAGATCATGACCCGAGCCGAAGGCAGAGCTTGACTGAGCCACCTAGGCGTCCCTGTACTGTTATTTATCGTTATTACCATTATTTAAGAGACAGTCTGAGGGAACCTTTGAAGAGTCCTCTGAAATGACAGTAGTCAGCTGTTTCATTCGTTTTTAGTTTTAAATAGAATTTCTGTATGTGTGTCTGTGCTCACGGTAGAATTTTTTTTTTTTAATTCTAGTAAACATATAGCATCATATGAGTTGCAGGTGTACAGTATAGTGATTCCAGGCCTCTGTACATTTCCCTGGTCTGTTCTTCAGCTCAGTGCCTCTCATATGCCACCATGATGCGTGAATGCTTGCTGCTGATGTCTCAGGGGTCTTCTTCCTCATGTTCAGAAAGTACTATTCCAGTCTAATTTATTTTACGTTTTTATTAAAAATGAGCGTGCAGGGCCATCACATACCCTTTTTTGGCATCTTTTGAAATGTCATATCTTTTAACCCATAAATTTAAGTGAATTCATTCAGAGGTTTCCTGTTGTGATATCATCACCCCTGCATTCCTAAAATAAACCCCAAGTGGCCATCGTGTGTTATTATAGCGTGTGCCTAGATTTAATAGGTCTTTGTCCCTTTGTGGTGTCAGAATTGTGTTAATCTCATAAAATAAGCTGGATAATGTTTTTTTTCTTGTTTTCCGGAACTGTTTATAAGAGCAGGAATTATTTTTCTATCTGAAGGTTTCTTCCTGGTGTGATCTCTTCGGCTTTATGCTTTTTTTTTTTTGGTCCTAGTTTTTTGACCACTTTAATTTTTTACTTAGCTTTTGGTCAGTTTGTGGGTTTCCTGTGTCTTGGGACAATTTTTTAGTCATTTGTATTTTTCCAGAAGTCATTTATTTCATTCAGATCTATTAGTTACATGAGAGTGTTCCCTCACAGCTTCTTAAAATCTCACTTTTCACATTTGCATACTGTGCACTTGCTACTAAATACTGATCGTACTGGATAGAATTTGTCTACTGTGTTGAATTTGAAGAACCAGTTCTTACTTTTACGGACCAGTTCTGCCTTGGGAGAAGGGCTTTATTTGCTTCCTGATCCATTAATGTCTACTTTGAGTGCTAACGCTCCTTCTTTCTTTCTTTTTTTTTTGAAAGATTTTATTTGACAGAGCATGAGTGGGGGGGAGGAGCAAGGAGAGAGCAAGAAACAGGCTTCCCGCGGAGCAGGGAGCCTGATGTGGGACTAGATCGCAGGACCCCGGGACCATGACCTGAGCCGAAGGCAGATGTTCCACCGACTGAGCCACCCAGGCGTCCCTCTCTCCTTCTTTCTATTGTTGGGTTTTTTCGCAGTTGAAAATGTATTTCTTTTTTACTTAATTTTTTTAAATTTTATTATTTAAATTTTTTTAAAAGATTTTATTTATTTATTCGACAGAGAAAGATACAGCGAGAGAGGGAACACAAGCAGGGGGAGTGGGAGAGGGAGAAGCAGGCTTCCTGCGGAGCAGAGAGCCTGATGTGGGACTCGATCCCAGGACCCTGGGATCATGACCTGAGCTGAAGGCAGACGCTTAATGACTGAGCCACCCAGGCGCCCCTATTTAATTTTTTTTTTAAGATCTTATTTTTGAGTAATCTCTACATCCATCGTGGGGCTTGAACTCACAACCTCGAGATCATGAGTCTCATGCTCCACCCACTGAGCCAGCCAGGCGCCCTTTATTTATTTTTATTATTTATTGCAAAAGAAATGCATCCTTGTTGAAAAAAGTTTATACAGAAGCATATCAAGTGAAAAGTAAAATTGAAACTCCCCTTCTCCCCTCCCCCGTCAATCCCACTCATCCCCATGGATGACGGTAAAACCTGAGGGGAAAGTCTTTCTAGAACCAGTTCTACTTTTTCTATGCATTTATGTATACATAGGTTTTGTTTCAGATTAAATCTTTTCTCGCTCCTATTTCTGGGTAAGGAATCACCAGCCAGGTAACCGGTAGTCATCACTGTATTTCACAGTTGGGGGTTGACTGGGCTGAGAGAGGCAGGCACTTCTTGACTAAGGGCCCTGTGATTGCAGGCAGGTTGGTGGCAGGGGCAGCAATCACTGAGGCTTCCTGTCTTGCTTGTCTGTCTTGGGGCTGAGAAGGGACTCAGTGAGCTGGGACTGGAACAGCAGAGGCTTCTTAGGCACCTGTGTCCTCGTGTTCTTGGCTCCAGGGTAGCCAGAATTCCTCCGTGGAAGCTCAGAACTTCAAAGGTATATGCCCCTCTAGGGAGAGCCAGGAAAAAGCTTTTGTTGCCTTCATTAATGTGGCTGCTGCAGAAATCACAGCAACATTTCTGCTGCTGCTTTTTACTCAAGACAGACCATGAGGCTGCCCAGGTTCAAGGGTCGGGAATGTAGATTGGTGGGAGGTGTGACAGGGAAGTTATAGAAACCATCACACGTGGCTCTGGCTTTAACATAAATGGTGTTACTATAGGGACACCTGGGTGGCTGAGTCGGTTGAACATCCGACCCTTGGTTTCAGCTCCAGTCATGATATCAGGGTCGTGGGATCAAGCCCCGCTTGGGCTCCATGCTCAGCACAGAGTCGGCTTGAGATTTCTCTTTCTCCTTCTTGCTCTACTCCTTCCCCCCCCGCCGCCCCGTGCTCATGCTCTCTCTCTCAAATAAATAAATCTTTTTTAAAAAAAAATGGTGATACTATAAAGAGTTAATGCTATACCTATCGTCCTGGGATTTAACATTTTCTCCTGGAGCTTTCTTCATGTCATTATACGTCCATCCACAGCATTCTTTGTTACAGTTGCATAGGTATCAGTGATTCACCTGTTAAATGAGTGATAAATATCTCTCTATTGATGGACGCAGTTTTCCCTTTTTTCAAATAGGAGTGGCTTCATTTACTCACACTGGAGTAGACAGTGGCAGACCAGCCCCTCATTCTCTCCCGAGTGCTTTATTTCTGGACAAAGCCCTTGACATTCAGATGGGAGAGGTTTGGGTCCTCCCTTGTTCTCCACAGCAGCAGAGAATGTCCCCTGGAAAATGGGATGGGACCATTTCACCCACAATTTAGGGAAGGAAGGAGGCAGAGATGTCAGTTAAGGTTACGTACCATCTTGGTCTAGTGATCCAGGCCTTTTTTTTTTTTTTTTTTAATACTTTGTACCTGAAGAACTTTCTTGATCTTTGTCAGCAACTTGATTGTTGAATAAATACATAAAACTAACCTTTGTCTGACAAGGGAGTAAAATTTCGGAATAGTCCTTTAAATTCTGATTTTTTTTTTTAAGATGTATTTATTTATTTAGAGAGAGAGAATCTCAAGCAGACTCCCTGCTGAACATGGCGCCCGATGCGGGGCTCGATCTCACGCCCCTGAGATCATGACCTGAGCCGAAATCAAGAGTCAGTTGCTTAACCGACTGAGCCACCCAGGCACTCCCCCCTAATTTCTGATTTTTAATACGTTTTTCTTCTAGAAGGTGGTAGGGTTATTTTTCTCTTGGTTTGTTTGTTCAGTTGATTGCTATTTTATAGAGCTATTTAGCCCAACTAGATGTTTGTAGGAAAGAGACAGGAATGTAAATACCCTGAATTTTAAAGATGTAAGGTTTGTGGAAAACGGGACAAGTTTCTCTTATTTAAACTTATACATTTTATGTCAATCAGGTTGGAGTGATTGATTTCTCCCTCTACCTTAAGGATGTGCAGGATCTTGATGGTGGCAAAGAGTAAGTACCATGCTGCATGCTGCGCTCACATGTTTCATGAAATTCTCGGCAAAGAATGCTACATTTGTGTTTGCTTTGTGGGCCATTTTCATTTTCATTGGGCGTTTTTAGTTACAGAAGTAATACATTAATATTCCCATGTGCAAGGAATTGAGCTCTGCAGAATAGAGAGGACAAGTGAAACGTCCCCATTCACACTGCCCCCCCATCTCCAGCTCAGTCCCCTCAGAGGAAGCTGCTCGTGTCTCCTCCCACGGCTTTTCTAAATGCCTTGCGGGGATATATTTGTTGGTAGTATAATTTGCCTTGTGGTTTGTTTGAATATAAATGGGACGGTACTATTATGTAGACATAAGTTGCCCTTGGACTGACTTGTTCTTTGACCCTGGTGTGTCTTGAGTGTCTCTTCATGCCACGTGTAGCTCTCCTTCATGCTGCTAACAAGAGCATTCTTTTAAAGGAGCTATTCTGGGAAAAAAGAGAATTAAACAAAGCAAACAGTGTGTATAACATGCTACCATTTGAATTATGATAAAGAATATACAGCCGTATTCATATGTTGCACTTCCATGCGCATGGCCCACTTCTAGAGGAGCAGATAGACCTGCTCACACTGGCTGCGTGGAGAGGAATTGGCCGGGAGGCCGGCATGGGGGGTAGTTTGACTGTAAACCCTTGGGTTGTGTTTGACACTTTTACCACCTGTCTTTCCAACATGTTCCCATAAGGATTTTCACAGTCTCTGTCCCAGCAGCACACCTTATCTGGCAGTGGGAACCCCATTAATGCTTCAGGCATCTTGAGTACAAGGATTCACCCACTTGAGACTTAAACAGAAATACATTCTTGGGGTGCCTGGCAGGCTCAGTCGGTAGAGCATGCAACTCTTGATCTTGGGATTGCAAGTTTGAGCCCCATGTTGGGTGTAAAGATTACTTAAAAATAAAATTTATATATAGTTAATGTAAAGAAATGGAAATAAACTGATTATCAATAAGGAGATAATTGAATAAATTATGGAACATTCAAAATATTCCACTCTGTGATATATTATACAGACATAACAAATTTGACCGACAGGGTAGGGTAGACTTACAGGGATTTCCACAAGGTATTATCGAGTGAGGAAAGTATGATACTGAGAAGTGTATACAGTTGCCCCCTGAACAACACAGGTGCAAACTGCACAAGTCTACTTATACACAGATTTTTTTTTCAATAAATACTACAGCACTGTAAATGTGTTTTCCTTACGATTTTTTTTTTAAAGATTCATTTATTTTAGAGAAGGGGAGGGAGGGGCAGAAGGAGAGGGACAGAGAATCCCAAGCAGACGCTGCGCTGAGTGTGGAGCCTGGCTCGGGACTCGATCTCGCAAACCTGAGATCAGACCTAAGCTGAAATCAAGAGTCAGCCACTTAGGGGCGCCTGTGTGGCTCAGTCGGTTAAGCGACTGCCTTCGGCTCAGGTCATGATCCTGGAGTCCCGGGATCGAGTCCTGCGTCGGGCTCCCTGCTCGGCGGAAAGTCTGCTTCTCCCTCTGACCCTCCCCCCTCCCATGTGCTTTCTCTCTCTCTCGTTCTCTCTCTCTCCCTCAAATAAATAAAAATCTTAAAAAAAAAAAAAAAAGTCAGCCACTTAACCAACTGCACCATCCAGGCACCCCCCCTCCACCTTATGATATTCTTAATAACATTTTCTTTAACTTATTTCATTGTAAGACTGCAGTATATAATGCACAATAACACACAAAATGCGTGTTAATTGATTATGTAATTGGTAAGGCCTCCAGTCAATAGTAGGCTATTAGTAAAGTTTTTGAGGAGTCAAAAGCTATATGCAGGGGTTGGCACCCCTACCCTTGCATTATTCAAGGGTCAACCATATATCATTTTTGTAAACAAACCTAAGAAATCCCTAATATATTTTTTGTGTTTCAATTACATATCCTATCTATATAAAACAGATGGATATTATGATCTTATGCATATAGGCTCAACAGACTATTCATGTGGGTTACCTGCAGAGCTATGTGAAGGGCAGAACAGGTAAAAGAAAAAAATCGACCATGCTGAATAACGCAGCACCTGTGTGAACATACGTATGTATGTATGTATGTAAAGAAATTGGGGGCTGGAGGGGAGTCTAACTTTAAAATGTTCAAGCCTTTTCTTTTTTTTTAGCCAGACCGGTCAGCTTTATGTTTTGAAAGCCTCTGGTCTCCTTTTCTGAGCCACCCTCTTTCCCTCAGCACGACAAGGGCTACTTCATTTGCCACCTCAAGGGAGGGCCATTTGCCACCTCGAGGGAGGGCCATTTGCCATGGCCATCGGTGTTTGCATCTTGCGTGCCAGATGGCTTTCTCTCCTCTTCCCAAATGCCTGGCCTGCCAGGGCAGGAGGGTGTCTGCCCGAGGCCTGCTCACGTTTCTGCATCTCCCAAGGCCCTGGCTGCTGTCTCCACCACACCCCACCCCTTGGCCAGCTTTGCTCTCTGTTCACTCTGGGACCGGGACCAGGCAGACATTATTACTGAGGTCTGACTGTCCTTTGGTTTCCTGATGATACTGGTACTTCTTCAAGGTGATCGGCACATTGGGGGATGGTTACAAAGTATTAGCCACGAATTAAAGGAATTTCTCTCTTTTTATGCTCTTTTTAAAAGGCACGAAAGAATTACTGATGTCCTTGATCAAAAAAATTATGTGGAAGAACTTAACCGGCACTTAAGGTAGGACTCGCTCCTTTTTCCAAGGTTATAGTTCCTTCTCAATACCTGATAATCGTTTCATGGAACATTTTTGAATCGCCATATATATTCATAACTGACTTTTTTCCCAATCCAAGAAAGAAGGTTATCATGCTTGTGTGTACAGACTGGAGAAGTATGATTTCTTGATAAGGAGCTTTGGGAATTCTTGGGTTTTTTGTTTTGTGCAGTGAGACAATGTAGAAAGCAAACAGATTACACCTTGAATCTCCACCCCTCGCCCCTCAGCCACCCAGTTGGAAGTTGGGAAGCACTGTTCCTGATGGGAATCAGCACACATCCCTCTGGGGTGCCGGGGCAGGATGATAAAAGGGTTGGAAAACCACCAGGCTAGACCTTTGACAACAGTTCAGTAGCAAATAGCAGGCGTCTGTACCTTGATTTTTCATTTTATTGGAAAGCTGCTGCTCTCTTTCATGAAGCACTAGCTGATGGCGGTGTTGGTGGCGAGCGGGCAGAGATGCTCAGTCTGATTGGTGGGGAGACCTGTTGTCACTATGTCTCTGAATCCCCTCCGAGAGTGTGCGGTGCACGGTAGCTCCGCTCCACGGGAGCAGCCCGGCTGCCCCAAGCACCCGTGAGACCACTCAGGGAGCTGGCACGTCGTTGCAGAACGGGGAAAGCTGCTCCACGGTCTCCTTAGGTATGATGTTGGCTGCTATTGTGAGAGTTTCTTGATAGGTCCCTCATTTACGGAGCGTTTTTATAAGGATCAGATGTCAGATTTTAGCAAATGCTCTTTCGTATCATTAAGATAATCATGACTTTTATCCCTTAATCTGTATTTGATTAGTAGATGTCTTCATACTGAGCCATTTCTGTATCACAGGGATAAATTCTACTTGATTGTAGTTTGATTTTTTAAAGATTTTATTCATTTGTGAGATAGCATGAGTGGGGGGAGAGCCAGAGGGAGAGGGAGAAGCAGATACCCTTCTGAGCTGGGCGCCTACCTCAAAGCCTGATCCCAGGACCCTCCCTGGGATCATGACCTGAGGGGGAGGCAGACGCTTAACCAACTGAGCCACCCAGGCATGCCTTTAGAGTAGTTTTAATAATCATTTTTTAATATGTAAACTGACCTAATTATTCTGTAGTTTTTCCTCTCTGGCATGGTGTCAGGTTTATGCAGCTTCACAAAATGAATTAGGAAGAGTTTCTGGTTCATGAGCATTATTTGCTCCTTGAAAACACAAAGCTCGAGGCGCCTGGCTGGCTTAGTGGGTGGAGCATGCGACTCTTGATCCCAAGGTTGTGAGTTTGAGCCCCATATTGGGTGTAGAAATGACTTTAAAAAATTTTTTCTTAAAACAGAAAATGTGAAGCTCAAAGCCTTTATTGAGGCAGTACTTTGCCAACTTCTCAGTTTTTCCTAAGTTTGGTTATCTGGATTTTTTCCTTCTGAGGATATGTCTCTTTTGGTCATTTAGATTTTCTAAGAAAAGCATAAATTTTAGTGACATTTTCTAAGTTACATAGTTGGAATAGAACTGAAAATTGTGGGGCGCCTGGGTGGCTCAGTTGTTAAGCGTCTTCCTTCAGCTCAGGTCATGATCTCAGGGTCCTGGGATCAAGCCCTGCATTGGGCTCCCTGCTCAGCAGGAAGCCTGCTTCTCCTCCCACTCCCCCTGCTTGTGTTCCCTCTCTTGCTGTGCCTCTCTCTGTCAAATAAATAAATAAAATCCTTAAAAAAAAAACTGAAAATTGTATACTTTTAAAATCTATAATTCCCAGGGAGCCTGGGTGGTTCAGTCAGTTAAGCATCTGATGCTTGATTTTGGATCAGGGCTCGATCTCAGTCATGACTTCAAGGCCCCACCCCACCCCCCGTTGGGCTTCACCCTGAGTTTGGCACCTACTTAAAAAAACAAAAGCAAAAACCCTGTAATTCCCTCCACATCTTTTGTGTTCCCTTTCTCATTTTGGGTCACTGTGTTTTAATTTTTCTCCCCCCCCTCAATGCTCGAACCTTGATTCATTAGCCTCGCCAGGTTTGTTTCTTTGTCCTCCCCTCACTGGCAAAACACACCAGTTTGCGGCAGTAGGGCCTGTTGCCTAAAAGTACAGGTTCTGGAGCCAGACCACCTGGGTTCAGATCCTGGCGCCCCTCCAGAGGGGGATGAACGTGAGTGAGTTTTCTAGTGTAAAGTTACAGTTTCCTCATCTGTGAAATAGGTAACAGTAAGATTTGCCCACAGTGTCGTGGGCAGGGTCACATGAGCTGATGCATTGAAAGTGCTTAGAACAAACAGGGCCTGGCACATCATCCAAAAAGGAAGTTATTGCTTGTTAATGTTGCTGTATTTTTGTTTATCAAATTTACATTCGTTTGACATGTTTTTCAGTAGAAAAGTAGTACGGATTAAAGAGTATTTGAAAAATGAGGCAAAGTATAAAAAAAATTAAAAAACCACCTTTGCTCCTACAACCCCAAAGTACCAATATCTTCTTACAGATATTGATCTGTATACGTGGCCGCCAGCACATTTTGGTTCCCATGTATCGTGTTAGGGAGAAAAAAACTATTTCCTTTCCAGTTGGCTAAAAAAGAAATGGATAGCATATTTTGGGGGAAAGACATTGAAATCTTTGTAGTAAATGTATACACACGCACCCATACATACATATTTAGAATTCTCATCTCTGAGTTCCTTGGAGACCCTTGGCTCTCCATCCATCCCACAGGAAACCTAGGAATCTGTTCTCATTGTTCACAGCCTGGGGAAACAGCCTTTATAAGCTCACTGTTACTTAATGTGTTGTTTTCTCTAGCTGCACAGTTGGGGATCTTCAAAGCAAGATAGATGGCTTGGAAAAGACGAATTCAAAACTTCAAGAAGAGGTTTGTAACTTACTGAAGTTCTTAGAACAGAATGGCCCAAGGTGAAGAGACGGTATGGTTGGTGTATCCGACCAGAGCTTCTCGCTGGTCGGAATGGGAATTGCTAAGTTTGGATTAAACTGCATGGGGGGGTCAGGCGTTCTCAGAGTTCTGCATCCTCAGAATGTCCGTGTTCAGCGCTGTCTGGGGCTTCCTGTGAGCCAGTGCAGCTGATCATGAGCCAGTTCTAAGGGACTTAGGTTTTACCACCTCACAGTGCACCCGGGGAAGACCAGGCGTCCTTGGGAAAGCCCAGCTCCTGTGGTGAATGTGCTTCTCTCTTCCTCTTTACCCACCTTCCTCTGATGTAGTCTGTCCCCTTGCTGCCCAGAAGGCACAGACTCTGTTATGAGGTAAAAGTAACCCTCGCCCACCCCTTCCGTGTTTCGGCCTCTCAGGAGCATGGAACCAGTCTCCCCACAGTGTGGTCTTTCTCTGCTTTCTCACTAGGAAGAGAGAGAATGAAAGGACAGGAAGAAGGAGGGCTGAGGCCGAGGAAGAAAGCTTGCTGCCAGCTGCCCGGCAGTCTCCTTGGTGGACACATCTTGTCTCCTGTTAGCAGGAGGGGGGTTGCTCAGCCTTTCTGAGGCTTTCCACAGGTAGCGGTCCCTGGCTACTCGGGCCTCCCCACCAGGTCTCCCTGGGGAGGAAGAGGGCTGTGACAGGGGCCAGGGCGTGACCCCCACCTCGGTGTGGAGGCAGGTTATGGCCAAAGGAGAGACGCAGAGCATGCCTCTGTATGGAGGGCCCAGTTTAAGGCATCCTTTAAACTGACCGCTCTCTCCCACGGGGCCAGCCCTGAAAAGCTTTAAGGAGAGGAGCTCAGATTTGTGTGAGGAGAAGGAAATTCAAAGGTGGCGTTCATAGATGGGCTCCCCGGGAGCAGCTTCACCACACTTAGAATTGGAGGACCCCGTTTCCCTTGGGTGGGTGGGCCTCTGAGCCTCAGTTTAGGTAGGCAGGTCTTTGGGCTTCATGTTCTCATCTCCAGATTAGATGATAACCCATACCTTACAATGTTGTTGTAGAAATTAGGTAAGTGTTATATAAATGTGCCTAATACAACACTTGGCACATGGAGACATTAGCTGATTTTAGATCAAACAGATTGATCTTTTGTTCTCCCTGGCGAGGTGGCATACTTTCAGTGACGGTCTAATTTTAGCTTTTGGAACTAAACAGCTGGGTTATTTTTTCCTTTAAAGGCCAACAATTGTAATAGAAAACATACTTTAGAGAAAAGTCCCTCTCTTCAGGGTGTGCTCTCTCCGTCTTCAGAGAGCGGATGGGAATTAGCGTCCAGCTTTTGCCTGCTTCTTCCCTTGTAGCAACTAGCACCTCCTAGAGCCTTAAAGTTTCTTATTTAGGTGCAGCAGTTTATGGTTAGTTGTGAGTTCTGAGTCCCCTTGGACTTAGATGCTGTTGACGAAGAGGAGCAAGGAGTTCAGTGGTTCAGGGCCCCCCTCAGTGAGTGACGCCAAGAGCACAGCCAAGTTCCGGTCTTCTTTCCCCTTCCCCAGCCTTCGCTTCTCTCTCCAGGCTGTGTTCGGAGGCTGGATAAGGAGAGGTTGGTGGGTGTGCTCACGCCTCTGCCTGCCTCTCCTGAGAGCCTCCCCTCAGCAGGTCTGTGAAGGTGTCCTGTTTGTATACACTTTGCCCTAAACTGTGGTAACTCAAGGACAGGAAGATGCTCTCCAGGGCCTGTCTTCAGTGGTTTGGTTGTGATTCCTCCCCCAGAAGGCTTTCACTCTCCCTCTAGGGATAAAATATCCTTTTGCTTCTTGGCTGGAAAAACTGAAAAGAATGAAGAATCAGAACAAAAGCCCATAATCCCTTTACTAAGTAAGAGCTACTGTTATCATTGGTGTTTACATAGTCCCCAACTGTTCCCACCCATTTTTAACCTAGGTGATTTTTTTTTTTTTTGATTAGAGATGAGAACATCCTTTATAAACCTGCCTTTTTTCCGTATTGATATTCCACCCTAAGTATCTTCTCAAGTCATTAAAAACCTTTGCAGACATTCTCATAACTACATGTTTGTCTGATGCTCCCACTGCCATTCGTTAAACCTTTATTCTAGTATTGGACATTCAAGTGTCTGTCATAGTTTGTGTCCGTAAATTTTTTACATTAACTAGTTGGCTCTCATTTTTTTAAAACTGTGTCAATATATTACCTATTCAAAACCAAGAAATAAAATAAAAAACAAAATATCAAATACGTGGAAATCCATCGTCACTTGCGAAGGTGCCAGACGTCAGCTTTTAATTGGAACGGTAAGATTAATTTTGACGTTAAGAAACATAAAAATCTTTCTTTATCAGCTTTCAGCTGCAACAGACCGGATTTGTTCGCTTCAAGAAGAGCAGCAACAATTAAGAGAACAAAACGAGTTAATTCGTGAAAGAAGTGAGAAGAGTGTGGAGGTGAGACGCTGGCCCCACGGCAGGGTGGTGCGCCGCACGGACGCACACGTCATACACACGCCTGCCGCACCCACACGCACGTCACGCACGCGCGCGTTCCCGGCCAACCTCAAGCTCCCTGTGCGGCGGTGACGCAGGCCGCACGCAGTGCCCGGCTGCCGTGTTTGGTGCCCCTGCGCCATCCTACCCGGCTCGCGGGCCGCGTGGCCCGCTGCTCCCCCACCTGTGGGCCCTCGCGCTCAGAGCCTTGGCTCTGGTGCCGGGGGGCTCTGTGATGCCACCCCCGGCGCCCGTCGGTGGGCCCTCCCCTCCGCCCTGCTGTCCCAGCTCTTTGCGCCTCCCGGCGTGAGAGACCCGCTTTGCTGTGCTGCAGAGCTGCTCGCTGGCACCGTCTTACCTGATGACCGGAGAACAGAGAGGCCGTAGCCGGTTCATCTCGAAACCCACCCAGTGCTGGAGAACATGCCGGATGAATGAATCCGCGCTGAATGAGGGCCTTTCCCACTAGGAACTGCTCTGCTTTAAAGAAAACTAAATACAAATCATTTTTCGAACCTAACTTTTCAGAAGTCTGTTGGCTTGCTTTCATCCTTCAAGTTCAAAGAATTTTTTGAGCTTTTAACCTTTTTCTAGTATGCTTAAAAAATAGGAATTATCCTACATCTTTAAAAATTATGGCATTCTTTTTTTAATTTTTTTTCTCTTAGTTTAAATTGGCTCCATGCCCAAGGCGGGGCTTTGAACTCATGACCCTGAGATGAAGGGTCACATGCTTTACCGACTCAGCCAGCCGGGCATCCCTATGGCATATTTTAAAATACTTGTAGTTCGTTTCCATAAGCAAACCATTCCTCTGGGTGTTCTTGTTTGATACAGATAACAAAACAAGACACAAAAGTTGAGCTGGAGACTTACAAGCAAACTCGGCAAGGTCTGGATGAAATGTATAGTGATGTGTGGAAGCAGCTAAAAGAAGAGAAGAAAGTCCGTTTGGTGAGTGTGCAGGACTGAGTGTCTTTAGAAGGTATTCCCCAGTAGCCCGCCAGGTTCTTCGTATGCACGTTTCACACACGTGGTTAGATCTGCTTTTAAAAACAAATGAGTTTTTTGGGACACCTTGGTGGTTCAGTCCGTTAAGCATCTGCCTTCGGCTGGGGTCATGATCTCAGGGTGGTGGGATCCAGCCGGGAGTCGGACTACCTGCTCAGAGGGCAGTCTCCTCCCTCTGCCTCTCCCAGACTCATGCTCTCCTTTCTCTCGCTCTCTCAAATAAATAAAATCTTTAAAAAAATAATAATTTTTCATATAAAGTTTTGTTTTTTAATTTTTCTTTAAAAACTCTATTTATTTGAGAGAGAACGAAAAAGCACAAGCAGGGGGAGCAGCAGAGGGAGAGGAAGAAGCAGGCTTCCTGCTGAGCAGGGAGCCCGATTCGGGATTCGATCCTAGAACCCTGGGATCATGACCTGAGGCAAAAGCAGACGCTTAACCATCTGAGCCACCCAGGTTCCCTATATAAAGTTTTTAAAGTGTGAAAAAATATATTCATGGAGAAGCAGAAATTGTCCCTTTTAAAAAAAAAATTTTTTTAAGGGGTTACTTAGTTTACCACTAAGCTCTGCATTTTTTCCAATTTTATAAACCTTTGTCAGGGATTACCGTGAGACCAGATTCATGGTTGCTTTGCCAGTACAGCTCCCTCAGTCACAGCCTCTAGTCTGTTTCTTTCCACCTAATCTCCATGCCAGTGACCAGTATTTTGTTTTTTGTGTTATTTTAGTAGGCTCCACACCCATCATGGGGCTTGAACTCACAACCCTGATCAGGAGTTGCAGGTGCTACCAACTGAGCCAGCCAGGCGCCCCAGCCAGTGTTTGTTTTGTTTTTGTTTTTGTTTTTAAAGATTTTTATTTATTTATTTGACACAGCACACAAGCAGAGGGAGTAGCAGGCAGAGGGAGAGGGAGAAACAGGCTTCCCGCTGAGTGGGGAGCCCGATGCTGGGCTCAGTCCCAGGACCCTGGTTTCATGACCTGAGTCACTTAACGACTGAGCCACCCAGGCGCCCCCCAGCCAGTGTTTTTTATTAGACCCAGCTCTTGGATCTGCTTTGTTTCTTTGCACCGATGTAGAGACATGTGTCCTGAGTTACCCAGGACAGAACTAGTTCAGCATGGTTGCACCCTTGTTGGCCTTAATCTAGCAACCCATTCCAAAAACTCTGACATGGCAACATCACAGTGCTGAGCAGACATTTTTTCAGGCTGTGCATTCTAGTCTTCAGGTTTAAAGAACATGGTTGCGGGCGCCTGGGTGGCTCAGTTGGTTAAGCGACTGCCTTCGGCTCAGGTCATGATCCTGGAGTCCTGGGATCGAGTCCCGCATCGGGCTCCCTGCTCAGCAGGGAGTCTGCTTCTCCCTCTGACCCTCTTCCCTCTCGTGCTCCCTATCTTTCATTCTCTCTCTCAAATAAATAAAATCTTAAAAAAAAATTAACGTGGTTGCTAGAACCCGAGGCTGAGTGCCACCTACCAGCTTTCTGTTGTCCGCATACAGAGCCAGTATTCGTTATACAAAGAGAAAAAGGGAAAAACTTAATCTAGTAGTGCTCCAGACAGACTCTCATAAATCTCCCTAACCTATTCTGACTTTGGGTTTTTTATTTCTGGCAGTTCCCAGAATACAGCCTCAGGTAAACACACCTCTGTGTCTACTTCAGTAACACTTTTATCAATATTCTCTTAAGGAACTAGAAAAAGAACTGGAGTTACAGATTGGAATGAAGACGGAAATGGAAATTGCCATGAAGCTGCTAGAAAAGGACACCCACGAGAAGCAGGACACCCTGGTCGCCCTCCGCCAGCAGCTGGAAGAAGTCAAAGCGATTAATTTACAGATGTTCCACAAAGTTCAGGTGGGAGTTGGCTTTGTGTCCGTCCCACAGTCCCACAGCCTGGCTTCCTGCTGCTTGTTGCACACTGCCTCTTGTTCTGTCTCCGCTCTTCCTTCAGGAGAGGGGGGACACATCTGTGAGGCGTTCGCATGCGGTGGGCCCGGTCCTTAGGCCCTATCACACGTTCTTGTGCTTATTTTATTTGGGCCTCCCAGCAGTCCCCAAGAAAAGTTTATAATGTGGGGGGAACGTAAGTGACAGGGCAGAACCCAGTGACTGCATCACATGCCTGGGCTGGCCCAGCACCTAAGTAGAGCTGACAACGCAGCTGTGTCTTCTGCATCCAAACCCGCACTCAGCCTGTTGTTCCCTCCACTGTCTCCCTAGTGTCTGTTCCCTTCTGCTTCAGTGACTAGTTGTCTGCCCCCAGGAGATGGAGAAGCAGAGTAAGGAGCAATATAAGTTAGGATGGTCTTTTCAAGCTTTGCCGAGACGCTTATCTTGCCGAGTCTCCCGCCGCACAGCTAGCGGCCCGTCTCTCCTGTTGTGCTGGAGGTCCAGGGGAGCTGGCCCAGAAAGGGGCGATCGTGCCACGGTTTGAAAGCTAGCATCGAAAATCACACAGCTTGGGCGCCTGGGTGGCTCAGTCGTTAAGTGTCTGCCTTTGGCTCAGGTCATGATCCAGGGTCCTGGGATCGAGCCCTGCGTGGGGCTCTCTGCAGGAAGCCTGCTTCTCCCTCTTCCCCTCCCCCTGCTCACGCTCGCTCTTTCTCAAATAAAAAATCTTTAAAATAAAAAATAAAATTGCAAATCTTTCTTGTCCAGAAGCTACGGCAGTGCCTAGGACCATCCTCTGTCCTTCTCAAAACTTTTTTTTGAAGTTCTGTTTTCTGTTTTTAATGCCCACACTGCCCCACTTCTCTTCCCTGTCATGCATCTGTGTGAGAGATGGCGTGAGGGCAGACACGTGTGTTCTTTTGTCCTGCCTTTTTTAAACTCTTATGTAACTGACATTATACATAGTAGCAGCAGTTGGAAATTAAAGTATAGGGAGAAAATGGAAAGTAGTTTTGCTGTTTTCCCTCCTGTACATGCTCTGTTTTAATTTGTTCGTGTTTTCTTCTGCTTTGGGTCCGGCTGTAAAGGTAATCTTAATGCACATTAGGGGAAGCCATCCTGCCATAATAACTTAGCAGACCCTAAAATAGCATTCCAGGCCAGTGGTCCCTCAGGGACCCAGGCTCCAGCTGCCATGCTTGCCGGCGGAAGGGGAGAGAAAAGCAGAAGTCCAGAGGCAGGATTTCCTCACAGACAGAGAAGTTGCACACGTCATTCCACTGGATTCCACAGCAAAGGGCGAGGCAGCACGGCCAGGCATGGCTGCGAGCGGAGCCTGGGGCCGGCGTGCCTGGGCTGCCAGCCCGATGAAGGGGAGCACAGCGGTTAATTGATGTGTTGTCACTCTCCCCCATCGGCTCCACGAGCTCCTGGAAGTCCCGTCCAGTCCCAGAGTCCTCACTGTCCGCAAACCCTGGGTGTCGGGCAGCACTCTGCACGGATCCCACCAGGCCTGTGTTTGAACAACAAGACCAACTGTCTTTCACGTTGACCCATCCCACCCAGCATAGAATGGTGGGGCCAAAACACGATTGCCAAATGCCTATTTGCCAAGGGAAATTAGGGACACACAGAGCAGACCCCGGCCAGCCGCAGCCCTCGCTGTGTTTCTGGGCAGGAACTGTGAAGGCTCCCCTCCCTCTGTCAGCTGAAGAACTTGTCCGCGGACCGCCGTGGTCCCTGAGACGTCCACCGTCTCCATGGCCCATGGGAAGCGGGCTCCCAAGGGGCGCGGGGCCTTCCCAGTGGCCGCGCACCTGTTGCAGCCGGCTTGTTCCTGGCATCAGTTTGCTGGCCTGGAGGTTGTCTGAAGGATCAAACAGTCACAGATGTTCTTCGGGCCTGACTGTGGGTTTTTGACAGTGCAGTCCCCTCGGTCATTGTGTGCGTGTGTTTCCCCTCAGTCCCTGTGTCAGTGCCCACAGTTTAGTGGCCCATTTATTAAGCGCAGGTCTCGTGCCTGCCTCAGTCTAGTCTCTCCCTCCCTCGCTCCCTTCCTCCCCTCAGCAGCCCGCACCCCTGACCTGCTGCAGGATGCCTTGGGGCCTCCGGGCCTCACTTGCCAGTTTCTCTCACTTCCTTCAGGCGCAGAAGCAGGTAGCTTTTCTAACATGTCCGTCCCCTACCCTTGGACTCCGCTCCTGTCTCCGCAGCCCCCTCGCTCACGGCCCCCATGGCTGCCCTCCGGCTCTTCACAGCCACAGCCTCTGGAGCCCTGGCGTGGTTGGCGTGGCTTCCACGCCCGGGCTGGGGCAAGTGGCAGTTTTGCTCATTGTTTGCCACAATTAACAAGGGTCACCAGCTCCCCGGCTTGTCACCCCTGCTTTGACAGCGCCCGGCCCTGGTCTGCTGAGTCAGTGCTGCGTACTGTACATTTCCTGGCTCAGGGGCTTCGTGAGTGTCCCTCGGTGTGGGGTCCGCTGTCATAAAACATCCCTTGTTTTCTTTTCTCCTCATGCCCACTCCCATCCTTGTTCCTCTGGGCCCACGTTCTAGAGTGTTTATTTTTGTATGGATAGTTGTCATTCTAAAATGCACATCATCTTGAGGATGTGAATTTTAATTTACATGGGTGATATTGTGCATGGCTCTCTTCCTTTTCCCCCCTCAGAGCTACATGCAGCCGGGGGTGCACCTGGTTTGGACTTTGAAGGGGTTAGTCCTGGTGTATGCGGTCACTGCTTCTTGCCCATCCCCGCGGTGGTGGACACTGTTCCTGCCACTCCGCCGGCACAAACACCCCTGTAGTGGCTGGTCTATACGTCCCCCCCAGGGGCTCTGGAGGGGTGCAGGGGGGGCGTCTCTCTGGCCCATGCTTTGGGTCCTTGGTTTGTGGAAGCCCAGCCGCATCGCTTTCCAGAAGGGCTGCACGAGCACGCGCCGCCCCCTCCAGCGCGCTCTGCTGACATCTGTATTCTGTGTGCTTGTTTTATATGCATTTGTTCGCCTAGTGAGTGTCAGCAGCATCCCTTTGTATGTTTTTTAGCCTTTTGTGTTTCCTGTTCTTGCCTGTTCATACTTTTTGTCCTGGTTTTCTTTCTTTCTTTCTTTTATTTTATTATTTTATTTATTTTATTTTATTTATTTTATTTATTTATTTTATTTATTTATTTTTATTTATTTATTTTTATTTATTAGAGAGAGACAGAGAGCACAAGCAGGAGGGGAGAGGGAGACTCCCCGCTGAGCAAGGAGCCTGACGCTGGGCCTGATCCCAGGACCCTGGGATCATGACCTGAGCTGAAGGCAGACGCTTCACCAACTAAGCCACCCAGGCCCCCAGTCCTTGTTTTCTTCTTTAAATTGAAATTTAGTTGACATTAGTTGCAGGTGTACAACATAGTGAATCAAGTTCAGTTATACAGAGCTCATCGTGAAAAGTGCAGTCACCATCTATCACCACACAATATCATTACAGTGTTATTGACTATATTGCCTGTCCTATATTTTCATCCCCATGACTTCTTTAATTTGTAAGTGGAAATTTTACCTCTTAATCTCCTTTACCTATTTCTTCCATTCCCCACCCCTCTAGAAGCCACCAGTTTGTTGTCTGTATTTTCTTGTCTTTTTCTGGTTTGTTTTCTGGATTCCACATATAAGTGAAATCATATAGTTTTTGTCTTTCACTTTCTGACTTATTTCACTTAGCATGATGCCCTCTAGATCCATCCATGTTGTTGCAAATGGCAAGATCCCATTCTTTTCTATGGCTGAGTAATACTCCATTGTGTGTACACACCACATCTTCTTTATCCATTCATCCGTTGATGGACACTTGGGCTGCTTCCATATCTTGGCCCTTTGGAAATAATGCTGCAGTAAACGGGTGCAGGTATCTTTTCAAATTTGTATTTTCATTTTCTTCGGTGAAATTACTGGATCATATAATACTTCTGTTTTTACTTTTTTGAGGAACCTCCAGTCTGCTTTCCACAGTGGCTGCACCAGTCACCTGTCTGTTGGCCATCTGGATGTCTTCTGTAGGAAAACATGTATATGGGTCCTCTCCATTTTTAATCAGATTATTTTTAGCTGTGGTTTATTGTAGGAGTTCTTTGTATATTTCGGATACCAACCCCTTATCGGACATCTCATTTACAAATGTCTTCTCCCATTCAGGAGGTTACCATTTCATTTTGTTGATGGTTTCCTTCAGTATGCAAAAACTTTTTAGTTTGATGTTGTCCCGATAGTTTATTTTTACTTTTGTTTCCCTTACCAGAAAAATGTTGCTAAGGCCAATATCCCAGGAGATTGCACTATGCTTTCTTTTTGGATTTTTATGGTTTCAGTTCTCACATTTAGGTCCTTAATCCATTTTGAGTTTATTTTTGTGTGTGGTGTATGAAAGTGGTCCAGTTTCATTCCTTTCTATGTAGCTGTCCAGTTTTCTCAACACCATTTGTTGAAGACATCGTATATTCGTATATTCTTGCCACCTTTATGGCAGATTGGCAGTATGAGCTTGGGTTTACTTCTGGGCTCTCTCGTCCTGTTCCATCGATCTAGGCATCTGTTCCTGTACAAGTACCGTATTAATTCTTGCAACCTGTGAGCGTGGTCTGGCTTTCTATCATCTTCAGTTTTTTTCAATCCATGTCTTAAAGTCTTCATAGTATAGGTCTTTGACCCCCTTGGTGAAGTTTATTCTTAGATATTTTATTATTTTTGATGCAATTATAAATGGTTTTTTTTTCTTAATTTCTTTGTGCTACTTTATTAGTGTATAGAAATACGACAGACTTCTGTATATTAATTTTGTATCTGCAAACTTACTGAATTCATTTATCTGTTCTAAAATTTTTTTGGTAGAGTCTTTCAGGTTTTCTGTATAGAGTATCATGTATTTGCAAATAGTGACAGTTTTACTTCTTTTTACCATTCTTACCAACTTGGATTCC